GTGAAAGTGCACGTCACCGCGAGCCGCCTGACCTCTCTCTCCCTGCCCTCCACCCTTCTCCCCTGGCTCGACATTTCCCTGCTCGACATTCCTCTCGACTCTCCTAGTCACTTCTCCCTGCTCCACCTTCTCCCTGCTCCACCTTCTCCCTGCTCCACCTTCTCCCTGCTCCACCTTCTCCCTGCTCCACCTTCTCCCTGCCCTATCTCGCCACCTTCTCCCTGCTCCACCTTCTTCCTGCTCGACATTCTCCCTGCTTGACCTCTCGCTGCACGACCTTCTCCCTGCTCCACCTTCTCCCTGCCTCCACCTTCTCCTGCCTCTCACCCTACTCTCCCTGCTCCACCTTCTCCCTGCTCCACCTTTCCCTGCTCCACTTCTCCCTGCTCCACCTTCTCCTGCTCCACCTTCTCCCTGCTCTGCCACCTTCTCCTGTTCACTTCTCTCGTTCTATGTGTTGCAACCACCACTGTTATCTTGTTGGCGTTTAAACACCGTAGCTTCTGCATCCGTCCCCGTGTTACCAGTGCTGTGCCCTCTCCTTTACTGTCGTGACTGTATGTATCCCGACTATTTTTTTTCGTGCTGCTACTGTACCGTTCCATTTATGGCTTTTGTCCCACCTTTTCCTTTATTGTCCTTGCCTGTCATTTCATCCATTGTCCATGTTCGGCCATTCAATCTATTGTTGCTGTTGCACTAATCTATCCATTGTCCTTGTACTATTCCGTTCGTCATTCTTGTTGTACTAATTCATTCATTGTCCTTCTTGCTGTACCATTGCATCTGTTGTTGTCACTGTACGTCCTCGTTTACTCTCTCTTTACTCCTTATCTCACGGTGTTTAGGAGCAGCCTCCGCTGTGCGACGTCATCAGCAGAAAGACTCTGTACTATCTCATCGCGACGCTGAACGCGTCTTTCCACCCCGACTACGACTTCAGCAACGCTAAGAGCCATGAATTCAGCAAGGAACCCAGTTTCCAGGTAAGGGGGGTTGCACTCTCTAGAGTTACGAATGCTGCGCGCGGTAATCGCTTCTCGTCTTGTCGTATTGTGACTTGGAAATCGATGTTGTTTCAAAATCGAGTATAAAATTAAACTTCTGGTCGTATATTTTGGTGGGTATAGTAAATGAGTTTACTCCGACGCGTTAACTTTGCTACATGTATACGGATGCTGTTAGGCAAGGAATGTCAATGATGTTTGATAGAGTTTGGAAAACATTCGAAATCGTTACAGTTAAATCTGTACATAAGGTGTCATTCAAGGGAAGTGCTTGCAAAATGTATCCTTTAGTGACAGGCGTCTGTTCAGTAGAGATGGTTTCAGTGTAGAACTGCCATTCAAAAAAACATGCCAAGTGTCACTTATAGACAGACAGGTGTACATTGTACATCTTGGTGTCAGTATCTGCTAACACATGTTTGACCGTACGTCAAACTTGTAAACGCCATTCTACGCTACATGTATCAGCATTGAATGCGCGGGAGTAGATCGTAGATTGCTGGACGTCTATCAGTCTGTCCGTCTGCTCACTGGCAAGCGGCATCAACACCGCTGCTATTGTACCACATCGTATATATTATATATTACTATATATATTGTATATATATGTATTGTATGTTGATGTATGTACATGTACTATATTCAGTGTTCGAAATAAGGGGAAAATTTTGCTTGTCCTGCAAAATTTTCCCTTGTCCTGATTAATAACATAGAAATATAGTAAATGTGTAATACATTTAATCAAATTATATTTTAGATCCAATATCTTACTTTGTAATTTTAATACAGTTCACTAACAGTTCAAATTAGGCACCAAACTTGAAAGAACATAAACAAGCTCAATGATTTATTTTTTAAGTTATTACTTGTCTTAACAAAGTTAAAGCGATGGTAGAAAAAAGATGAAAAATTGCTCTAAAAAGCTGCCTGTCCAGCAGACAAGCTACTGGACAGGTCTACTTGTCCTCCGTGGAAATGGACACGTGAGGACAAACGAATTGCCCTTATTTCGAACACTGGTATTGTACTGCATCGTGCTGTATGGTATCGGTACCACTCTAATCCGTTTAATCTCGCATGCAGTGGGTGATGAACACAGTCAGCTCTAACCTGTATGCCGCCGTCGGAGAGACGTACAACACGCTAAAGATGCAGCTGTGGACGGCAATGGACGCAGAGATTGCCGTGTCCGACTGCGACATATACAGGTAGTCATTCCCCGCCTGCGCAGAGAATGTGAAAATATACAGGTAGTCGTGGCGGCGTCCCCGCCTGCGCAGAGAATGCAAAAATATACATGTAGTCGTAGCGACGTCCCCGCCTGCGCAGAGAATGAGAAAATATACAGGTAGCCAGTGCAGGGAATGTGAAATTTACAGAGAGTGCGAGCACGCTGCACAGTAACAAAGAACGCTCCAAAGGTGAAAAATTGGCGCGTACGGGTAAAAATCGTGTTTAAACTGTTCTAAGCTGATCGTCTTGTTTAGGCAGGTTGAAGCCAGTAGTTTAGCAATTGTCTGAGACGGAGAGCGTGCGTGCGAGTGTACGTTGTAACCTCGATCATTTCGTGCGGCAGTTACTGTTGCGGAAACTCATTCAAGATTCATCGACAACTTACACGTAGAAATCTTCTATAACGTATCGTATTTATTGCGATATCTCACTCATACACTCAGCATAATATCATTCGTGCTTCCGTCTCCTTCACACTCTGTTTCCGCTCTCCTTTCCCTCGCTCCCCGTACCACTCTCACGATCTCTATGCCTCAATGATCTCTACGATCTCTATGCCTCAATGATCTCTACGATCTCTATGCCTCAATGATCTCTACGATCTCTATGCCTCAATGATCTCTACGATCTCTACGATCTCTACGATCTCTATACACAAGTCATCACATTCCATCTGGCGCTGCTGTGCCGAACCACCTAAACAATAAATGGTTACATTTTCTTACACACATACACGGTCTACACATACACAGTCCACATATTCATACAATTATACATTTCCCATTACGATATACGGTTATACGGTTTACCTATGTGCTATTTTATGACAGTTACAACCCGGACTTGGAGTCGGACCCGTACGGTGAGGAGGGCAACATCTGGTCTTTCAACTACTTCTTCTACAACAAGAAGCTGAAACGCATCCTGTTCTTCAGCTGCAGAGCGCAGAGGTGCGTGTGTGCATGTGTGTGTGTGCGTGTGTGTGCATGTTTGTGCGTGCGTGTTTATGGGTTTGTGCGTGCATGTATGTGTGCGTGCGCGTGTGCGTGTGCGTGCGTGCGTGCGTGTGTACATGTTTGTGCGGGCGTGTGTTCATGTTTGTGCGTGCGTGTTTATGGGTGTGTGTGTGTGCGTGCGTGCGTGCGTGCATGTATGTGGGCGTGCGCGTGTGCGTGTGCGTGCGTGTGTACATGTTTGTGCGGGCGTGTGTTCATGTTTGTGCGTGCGTGTTTATGGGTGTGTGTGTGCGTGCGTGTGTTTATTGGTGTGTGTGTATGTGTCTGTGGAGGAGGTGTACCTCCACTGAAGCTAAATTCAACTCAACAATCGTGGTGACAGTTGTTGCCTTCAATCGAGTTCTGGTTATACCGAGAAAAAAGCACCATGCGCAAAACTACTGCCATATGGTGACGAGTGATGTTTGTTCAGGGTGCCCTTCCATCAGAAAAGTCCCTTAAAATAGTACTCTGTAGTGTTTTGAAATATTTTCTGTGCTTGGTGCATGTACATTCTTCCGTGAGCAGTTGGCCTCTAATGTGTTTGAACTAAATTTTAACGATGTGCTATTTTGAGGTAAGGCGGTCATTTTTTTCGTTTGACTTTTTTGGAAAGACCGAAAGCTGTAGAAGCCATCGCAATTTTCGCTCGTGCGAAAAAGTGCCTGTATATGAGTCTCTAAATATCATTATGTGTGACAGTGTGCGGAACTAGCAAATGTCGTCATTGTAGGGCAAAAGTATGAAAAGCGAGTTCAGCAATTTAATATTTTTTTAAATGAATTTCTCACACTTCTCAGATAGTTCTCATCCATTAGAGAACGTAGAGCTCACGTCGAGCGACTGCTCACTTGTCTTTGCAGCTCGGCGGCCGCAAGCGACTCGGGCGTACAGGACTTGGACGATGACAACTACGAGGCTTACGACATGGACGGCTTCGACGAGTAGTCCGTCGCCGTGGAGACGCAGGTCGTGCCGTCGCCGCGGCGACCGAGAGGACGTATGCCCGCCAGCTTCACCACTCGCTTATATACTTGTACAAACTTTCTCACGAGATCTCAGTGTTGGCGACGGCTTTTTCGGGCGGGGCACGCTCTGCTGTTTAGTACGTTAGGTTTGACAGATGAAACCACAACACTGCAAACTGTCACGTGAATAAGTATGATTGCCGTGAACTTGGAAATCGAGTCATGCTTGTGGAAATGTAATCAGTGTTATTGCCAATTGAGCCAACGATTTTCCGTCGAGCACCTCGCAGAAAGTCTTAATTGCAAGATCAGTTGTTTTATTGCCACAAGAGGAAATGTCTATTAATTTTTGCGTTGATGTAAAGTTCCTTCCCGATATACTCTATGTTTGGTATCAATATTTGCATTGTGAATGCGCAAATGACTGATACGTATTGAACCAGGCTCAGATAATTGACTAACTCAAAAAGGCACACTTATAATTTTGTAAGTGGCGGGAGTGGGTAGTTGTGTCGTACGTTTAATTCTTCTATGCGATAACACCGTGTTAGGAATTTAAATGTGAACGTCGCAGCCTTTTGTGGGAAGAACCTTGGGGGGGAAAATTGACTGCTTTCCTCGTTTTTCTACCAAGAGACTGAAGAATACAAAGCACTAGTAGCATGTATTATATCTGAGTGCAGCCCATACCAATCAAATTAATGTAGGTACAATCGGTACCCTTGTATGCCTAGTGCAAGGTAGCACCTGTTACCTGGTGGATGCAATATTGATTCTGGTTATGCAGTTATGACTTTCCAGTACAAGTCGTGGCTTTGTTTTGAAAAGCGATTCGAGGCAGGATTGTTTGGGTGTTGTGGATTCATTTGTCTCTCGTAGAAACGAGAACAGGAAATGTATTTCCTATTGTGTATATGTACCATATTATTGAAGTATATATGAGCCAACTATGAGATGATTTATCATTTGAGAAGTTAGCCCTGGGCTGCTAAGTGAGACAGGTGGGCGTAATAATAATACCTTCTGCCTGTCACAGTAGTACACACGTGCTGTACTCAGAAATTTTCCAGAATTAGATTGAGCGTGCATACTAAACATGTGCATGCATCTTTGAATGATAAATCTAAGGCTATTTATACGAATCTAAAAAAATGGCAGATCACCCCCTTTTTTGGCTACTTGCCAATTTATGATGCGATCACTCGCGTTGGCTTATAGGTGCTTCATTTATACTTGTCTAAGTGTAACTGTAGGGTTTGTATATAGTTTACATATTATTAGTAATAGTAAGTAGGTTGCACTGTAACCAGTCAGCATTTTAGGAATGAAGATAGACTCTATCATGTTTGGAAATTGTTATAATCCTCACCCACTTAATGCCGTAACGAATGTAAAGTTTTCCACTCTAATAGAAATAAGTGTTAAAATTAGTTGTGTACATTTTAGTTGTAAAACAATTCTTTTAAAATGTTCGCCGTTATTTTAATGATAAAATTAATGCCCTAGTTGTTATTTATTCAGGGATCCATTGTTTTAGAAACTTTGCAAAACCCTGCGGATTAACTGCTAGACGTGTACACTGAGGTTTTAGTGAGTTTATTTAGACATGATTAATTGTTAAACACATCAGAGGTGTCACAGTTCAAGTTAGCATTCATTTATTTGTGCACAGATATATATTGCTATCCACATGGATAATAATTAATATGAATGTATAGTATAGCACACACATATATACACACGTATATACACGTTGTCAGATAAGGCGCGTTTGTGGCATTATGGTCCCTATATGATGGCATCCCATGGATCAACGTACCTTTAAAAAACACGCAGATACTCAATCGTAATCAGAACTATTTCTGACAACCTTTCTAAGAACGTTCTAGTGAAACGACGGGAGGGTCGGATCCAGAGAAGCAAACTTAAGTATTCAGCACCTCCCCCTGGATTTGCAGACCTGATTTATCCAGGGTGGGAGTGTACGCACTTCAAAATGGAATATATATATATATATATTTAGTGAGAATGCACTACATTGCAACCTTATTTACCTAAAGACATTGAACGCCTCACCCACTCCACATCATCTGGATCTCTCTCTTCCAGAATTCCTGGATCACTCGAACTCTTTCCTAATACATTCTTCTGAATACTGACCACTGATTTGCTTTTGGGTTTTCTCAACGAGAAGCGTTTAGAGGAAATTACTCTAAAAATGTTCAAGTTTAATTTTTTTCTTGATATTTGTATGTTCCGTATTCGTTTTTCAATAAATATTTGTAGTAAATCCTAATCTATGTTGGCGATTTGTATTTCTCTAAAACTGGCCAAGTGTGATCCATGTAGAGGGGTACGTATATCTATTGTATATTCCTCTATTAAATTTTTTCTTCGTAGTGTGGAAACACGTAGTATTTGTGCCTCACGCCACATTCTTGTGGCTGTGGATTGCGCAGTATTGAACCATGCATGTAGACTGGGAAGTATGCGCTCAATCTATTCGTATGTGCCACGGCTATATAATTTGAAAAATCGTTATTCGTTTCCATGCAACATCTATTCAGTGTGTGGGCGTAGTCCGGTGATTGACAGTCTAGAGGCCACGCCTACCGGCTGCACCTTAGAGATTATAGTTGTACTTGGGACTGTAGGTGGCAGCACTATATTAACAACGAAAATGCGAAGAGGTAGGGGTCTCATTTTGTGATATCGTTTGTTTACAGTAAGACGTCAGTAATCACTGTGTTATCATCTATATGTGTTTCTACGTACGCGATAACGTACACTGATACCTGAATATAAATGAACAGATGGCGTACCGTCTAGGTTGTTATAAATTATCATCATACGCGTGGTGGATGTTTGCATAAATACACTTTAATTTATTGTGCCTAGGCCGTAGTCGCACTCAGTCTGTCTAGCCAGGCTTGTGGATGACTCATATTAGGCGTGAATGTAAATTTCGTGGTCCAAGCGACGTGACGGACAGCTATTTCGGATAGTTATCATCCGAGGACAAGATTATTCGAGCCATGAGTACAACTATTTTCCGTATACGTTTGATACCACGACCCATGCTAGGCTTTGGAGATGCTACATAAAAACGCCACAACTGCGTGCGACTCGCATTGGCAGCACCGTCGCTTGCCAAACTGGTTGGCTGCTGCGTGCTTGTGTATTGTATTTGCGTAAACCTACTTCTGTCACCTACTACCTGATGGATTTGAACCGATCCAATGCCCAGAACCGATATCAATGTTATTGGGGTATACGGATGATAGTTGTACTCTCGTGCGTGGTGTAGCCACAGCGAGTGGCACGACCACGGACCAGTACTTTAGTACTTGTGCTCACCTTTTGGAAGTTTTAAGTTTACGTCGGCGTTAACATTTTTACGTTACAGCGATTGAGTTTGTTGCGCTATTTGAGTGTTATTCGTTTAACGCACATAAATTACGGGTCACCGTAAATTTTTCGTCCGATATATTTATCGTATGCTACTTGCTGTATAGCAATCTTTAAATGCATTCCATGCCAGCTTATTGCTGTTTTTATATGTATTGAATTATTACAAGTATTTTACACCCGATATCACGATTCAGGTTGGGGAAATATTGCTAGTTTGGCTATAAAACATCTTATCGTTATACAGCGTAGACTAATGAATTGTCTCATCACTGTGCAACATTATTTTGTGTATCTTGCAGAAATGGGTAAATTTTTGGGTAAATGTGTAAGTTGTAGGAAAATAATACGAAATAAGTGCTAGATATTTTTTACGACCTACAACACACTTCACGCAACAGTTTGGTATAATACAAATACAAATACAAAATTTTTTACGTAGAAATTAAATTTTACCTTGAGAAAGTCAGATTTTTAAATTTAGTTATTTTTGGCTTGCTAAATTGCGTAATTTGAATCGCGATATAGGTTTATTTGGCTATATTAGATGCATGGTTGACATGTAATTGGAATTTCTCTTCTAGCACTATGTTGGCATGTAGTACATTTTATCATTGCTATTATTATTAACTATTATAGAAGTCCCATGGAGACAAAGTACATGCTTGCACATGCAGTTATAGTTGGACATGTACTTTGTAATAATTGTAAATATTGCTAATTCATTAATATTTTTTGTTTAATAAGTTTTGCAGCTGGAGTTGGTGGCCATGGACAATAAATATATCACATTAATGATATAATATTGGATGTGGCTGCTTGTTCGTACCCACCGGTAACCCTACCTATGCCACACCATACGCAGGATTTATTTTACTAGTATCTTACACTTTTTGAAAGAATGTGTAGTGCCGTTCTACGTAAGTTAACTCGCGTAAACCACCTAGTGTTGACTCCTTTCTTCTCGTCGAGACGGGCTTGCTACCAGTACAGTCGAAATCGTATATAGGTTCTCGATCTTTCTTAATCGAATTCAATTCACACTGGGTAGTCAATTCCATAAGCCGTCTTTCCATATTTATTACCATACATCTACATGGTATGAGCAGAAAGTATTATTTTGCGTGCTGTAGCCAGTCTAGCCGTATGGCTGCAAAATTCTAATTACCTTTCTATAATGCATTTGATACAGCTCGTGCCGCCGTTCGACATAAAAACCGCCATTCGTCGTCAATAAACAAGTGTGTGTTGCCACTTGGTTCCTAGCGTCGCGCTGTTTTATGAAACGTATGCCCTCTTTGACTAGGCAGCTAGGCTATGGGATATTATATGCTCTCGCGACTGCTTCAATTTCAAATAGTTCGGTTTAAAATTCATGTGAAATTAATTTAGGAATTTTGGCAGTGCCGCAAGGTCTGGTTTCGGTCCATCGATACCGGTGAATGCATGGTAAATAAAATTAGCTTTGATTAACTTCCCTGTGTTGAGTTAAATTGGATGGATAATGCTGTAGAATGTGCATGCTTGCAACTGTCTGCATCAAGTGGAAAGCCCAAATAATGAAAAAGCGCATGCAGGCAATTTTCCGGCTAGCATAATCCATACCATGGAAATCTGTATTTCGATACGACTGTAGGTCAGATTATTGATAGCCTGGTTCAATGTGTGTATCACTGGCCGAGCCAGACACATTTGGTGGATAATGGATGCAAGTTGCTTAGCAACATGTAGCTTATTATGTGCAGATGTGTACTTAGGGGGGTGGTCCGACCCCCTATTCAATTTCTGAAATTTTAAATTTATATTTTAATGAAGTTTTATACAACAGTGTATTTCACAGTAGAACTTCTATTATCGGAGTGCATTGTAACCTCGTTTCTTACTGTAATTTCAACGTTTTGCTGTCTGTCCTTTTCAAGACTCCCATAGAGTCCATACTCTGTTCGTGCAAGTTCTATTTGATTAACATAAAAATATGTTGTACGCATTAACCTATATGTGCGCAAGTTCCCTTGGTCGATCCAGATCACTACGTTATACGCGAGGCTGACTGTATATTGGTTATTATCGGATTATCATTATTAAAAGCTTTATATTGACCTAGATTATACAAATGGCAAGGCACACTCTAGACAGCGCAGTGAGTAGGGTGAGGAGTAATAAGTCCCATAATTCCGTTACGCAGAAAGCAAACAAAGTCCCGCGTTTTCCGAACGCACGCGAGATGCAGATAGGATAGATTCGGTAACGGCGAATTCGCGCTAAGCGCGCGTTCCCGGACGGCGGGATTAAATAATACGAGAAGGATCAAACGTACGTTTCCTAAACCGATAATCAATTTAATAATAATTGAGAGTACGTCCCGTACCGTTTACTCCCGGCGTGTATCCGTAATGGAGTCCCGGTTCGCGCGCGCGTTAACATACGTCTGTATCGAACGGCGCTCGTGAAAATCGTACTCAAGCTCGGTGTTATCCGGTCTCCGGCGCGAGCGGCGTTCGTCAGCGCGCGTGCAGGGGTAGAAATAAGGAGAGAAAAAAGAGATGGTCCACAGGACCATCTAGTTTGAAATTTAGATGGTCCTCCTAAATTTCAAATTGTTATCTAAAAGTAATGCGGCGTGCAAGAAATTTACCGTAAAATGGCACTAAAATATTCAATGGTTTGTCGGACTATTGACTTTGAAAATCTGATGGTCCTCCTGATTATTTGATGGCCCCGGACCATCGGACCATCGCTTATTTCGACCCCTGCGCATGCGCGTGCGTCCCGCGACGACGTCGCCTCCCCGCGGCGCCTCCCTCCCCTGACATTGCCCGACCGCTTGCCTCTTTTCGCAGCCAACGACATGTGCGCGCCGCAGCAGTTCCCGATCCCAATGCTGCACTCGCACGCCGCGGCTGCCGCGGCCGCCGCCGACGCCGCACCGGACGGCGTCAGCGAACTGGAGATGCGTTACCGCAAGCGGCAGCGCGTGTCCGACGACGGAGCGTTCGCCGGCCTGCAGCACCCGCCGCCGTGGAGGGAGTGCGATCCGATGTCGGCGGCCGGCGCGGGCAACTTCGCGAACACGCTGCAGCACGCGTACTCGGGACTGTGGACCAACACGCAGATCTCGCCGATCTTCTATCCGCGGACGCTCGACACGTACTACGACCAGTCGGCGTCCGCCGCGGTCATGTCGGCGAGCAACTTCCTCAATGGGCCGTCATTCGCGCCGATGAAGAGCGAAGAGTCGCTGTACAACCGCGCGGCGGCCGCCGCGTCCGTCACCGACTGCGCACTCGAGCAGGGTGACGACGGCCGCGGGAAGACGCACGGCGGCCACTCCCGCGCCACCGCCGGATACCTACCTCCCGGCGTCGTGTCAGCGCCCGCGGCGAACACGGCCGCTGCGCCGACGCCGTTCTCGTGGGCGCCGCCGCCGCCGCCGATCGACATCAACATGCAGTTCCTGCAGATCGAGCGCGAGCTGTGCGCTCTGCTGCGTCCGCTGACGTTCTCGGAGCCAGTCACGCATGTGTACAACCCGCTCGAGTACGCGCACCAGCCGCACAGCGACTACGTGATGAAGTACCTGCAGGGACCGAAGCGCGTCATGTTCCTCGGCATGAACCCGGGACCGTACGGCATGGCGCAGAACGGGGTAAGCGGCGCGACGCAGCAGCAGTGAGGAGGGGCGGGGTGGTGGGGTGGGGGGTAGGCACGGGTTGGTGGAGTTAGGCATAAACCCGGGACCGTACAGCATGGCGCAGAACGGGGTAAGCGGCGCGACTGCGCACAAGCGACGGGGGGGGATGTTAAGCCCGGCACACACGTGAGTAATTTTACTCAAGTAAAATGATGCATGAGTCAAAATACTCACGTGTGCGGCGGATTTTCGTTGAGTATTTTGACGCATGCATCATTTTACTAGAGTAAAATTACTCACGTGTGCGCCGGGCTTAACACAGGCCGGTGGATGGGGGATATATGCATGTGGTATGTGGATGCACTGTGGTAGGGGAGAGATACAATATGGGATGGCGGAATGGGGAGAGGATACATGATGTGGGTTGGAAGGGGGCACGCATGATGCGGTGGTGGGGTAGAGATACAATATGGGATGGTGAAAGGGCCGGGGTGTACGTGATGTAGGTTGGTAGAAGGGAGAGAATACATAATGTAGGTTTGAGGAAGGTATTCGTGATGCGCTGTGGTGGGGGAGCGATGCAATATGGGATGGTGGAAGGGGATTGCGATTCATGTTATAGGTTGCTAGATGCGATGGTGATACATAATGTAGGTTGGGAAGGGAAATACGTGACGCAGGCTGGTGGGGGAGAAGGCAGGGGATGTATGATGCAGGTTTGTAGACGGGAGGGGTTGTGTAGATTATGCTGGTTGGCTGAAGGGGATATTCGCAGAGTAATTGTGGGGGGGGGAGTACCGTGTAACATGAGTTGGTGGAGGGAAGGGGTAAATAATTTAAGTTGAATGTAGGGCACGATGATGGGTGAGGGGAGATAATTAAGACATGATGTCGGTGGAGAGGGCAGGAGATACGTATTGCATGATGGTAAGAGTGGAGGAGGGGTACGAGATGTTGGTAGGAAGGCGGTTGCAGAGTGTGTAACGTGGGTTGGTGAAGGTCGGGGGGCATACACGACGGCAATCGGAGGCAAATTATTGCTTTACGTTTACAGGGTGCGAAATTAAAGGGAGTCCGGAGTCAAATACTCCCTGATTTACATTCGGAAAACTGTGTGACTCCCTGAAAATTCTGCTATACTAACAAGTTCATTCCAGAGCACGGCCTCACGGAATTACCATATTTTTTTCAGCAAATGTCCAAAAAAAATTTGGCAGCCGTGCATCGCATGAATCTTCAAAATACGCACAGTTGTATACGTTATTCTTGTTGTGCTTTAGTTTTGAACTTCAGACTACGGACTCCCTCATTTTGCTACAGACTCCCTTTTTTTGAGGGCAGGGAGTCCGTTGGACTCCCTTGTTCAAAAGTTCATTTCTAACCCTGCGTTTACCTTGTTATTTTTACAGGTTCCCTTCGGTGACGGTAATCACGTTAGAGATTGGTTGAAAGTACAAGGAGAAGTATACAAGCCACGGCCCGAACACCCAAACAGACCCATCGTGGGGCTTGCCTGCACGCGCAGTGAGGTACGCACCCGAAGCTCGACGAAATATTTCTTCTTGCGGATCGATCCGTCTGAACTAAATAAATAAGTGAAACAAAATACCTACCTCAAATGTTGTTGCTAGTTTCGTGAAGCTGGATTGCTTTGTCCATGTTTTTCACGCGTGCGCGCCAAATTATCAAGTTTGCGACAGGGCAGAACTTGATATTCATTTTTAGAACGCAGCTCTTTCTATGCTGATTGGCTACAGCCACCTGTCAATCACTCGGTCTAATCTGCCAATCACTGTCAATTAATCGGTCAATCGGGCATTTTTTTTAACGTTGCAACAATTTTTGATCCCTTCTTACTAATTGGTAAATGTTTTCTATTTTAATTACGTGTATTTAGAATTGTAGTTTCTGTCTAATACTCGAGTGTTTCTTTGAGAGTTTTCATCTGACGGCCCTCGTCTCGACTACTTTCAGGTGAGTGGTTCTAGATTCTGGGGTTTCTTCAAGGAGAAATGCCATACTCCAGACGCTTTCTTCCGCCACTGCTTCGTGCACAACTACTGCCCCCTGGCGTTCATGTCGAAAACGGGCAAGAACATCACGCCACCGCAGTTCTGCATATCGCAGCGAAAGAGCCTGCAGGAGATCTGCGGTGGCGCCCTCTGCAGGACGATCGCGCTGCTGCAGGTGGAGACGGTCGTCGCCATCGGCAAGTACGTCGAGGCGCAGACGCGGGCGGCGCTGCGCGACGCCGGCATGGAGCACACGGTGCGGCTCGCGCGCATCATGCACCCGAGTCCGATCAATCCGAACGCGAACAAGGGCTGGGCCGACGTCGTCACCGCCCAGCTCGAGGAACTCGACCTCATGAAGTACCTGACGCCGCCGCCGCCGCAACACGACGGCGAGTAGCGGCGGCGCGCGCGGCGGCGGCGGCTCCTAGGGGGCGCTAGCGACGGCGGGGGTCAGCGGACGTCCCCGGCGGGGTGCGGCCACGGCGGCGGGCACGCGGCGCGGACTAGCGCCGGCGGCGTCCCAGCACACGAGGGGGAGGACGAAGGATCCTTCCCGTCGCGTGCTGGGCCGCTGCCGGCTCGGAGCGCGCGCCGCGGAGCGGCGGCCCGGCCGCACCCCGCCACACGACGACGCGCGACCGGGTGGGGTGGCGTCCCACCGCACGATGGGCAATAGGGCGGGCCGTATCTGAGAGTATGCAAGGCGAAATTGCGGCGTGCCGCAACGCAGCGTTGATGGGGTTGACCGTGTCGGAGCATGCAACGCGAAATCGAGCGTGCCTTAACGCAGCGTACTGTAGGGTGGGCCGTATCTAGGCATGCAACGCGAAATCGGGCATGCCGTATCGCAGCGTTGATGGGGTGGAACGTATCTGAGCATGCAACGCAGAAATCAAGCATGCATTAACGCAGCGTACTGTAGGGTGGGCCGTATATCTAAGTATGCAACGTGGAATCGGGCGTGTTGTAACACAGTATACGATAGGTCGGGCCATATCTGACAGTATGCAAAGCAGAATCGGACGTGCCATAATGCAGCGTTGATGGGGTGGACCGTTTCTGAGCATGGAGCGCGAAATCGAGCATGCTGTAGAGTAGTGTACAATAGCACGAGTATGCTTTGATAGAGTGGAACGTAGCTAAGCATGCTACGTAGAACTGGGTGTGTTGTTACGCAGTGTACGATAAGGTGGGCCATATATCTGAGTATGCAATGCAGAATCGGGCGTGCCGTAACGCAGTGTACAATAGCACGAGTATGCTTTGATAGAGTGGAACGTATCTAAGCATGCTACGTAGAACTGGGTGTGTTGTTACGCAGTGTATGATAGGGTGGGCCGTATCTGAGTATGCAATGCAGAATCGGGCGTGCCGTAACGCAGTGTACAATAGCACGAGTATGCTTTGATAGAGTGGAACGTAGCTAAGCATGCTACGTAGAACTGGGTGTGTTGTTGTGCAGTGTAAGATAAGGTGGGCCGTATCAAAGCATACTATGTGGAATCGGGTGTGTTGTTACGCAGTGTAAGATAGCATGAGTGTGCTTCAGAAAGAGCAGGGTGGGCTCAGCGTGAGAGAATGAGAGGCATGCTGGAGGCAAACGCACGTGGATTGGAGTAAACTGTAGTGAAATGGACACGTGGCGGGGTGGCTGCATTTCAGCACATGCCGTGGAATTGGGGGTGGGGGCTGCAAGACAGCTCTCTGTGGGGACTGGGGAGGGTGGGAGGGAGCGAGGGAGGGGGGGTCGTCTTCATGCTAGCACACAATGGAGAATAGGAGAGCTGAATGGCAGCACTAGGTGAGAAATGGGGGCTGAATGCCAGCATACAATGGGGAATGGATGGATGGATGGGGGGGGGTGACCTTTATGCCAGCACACAATGGGGAATTGGGTTGGCTGAATTTATGCAGTGTGTAGTTTGTAAACAGAAGCATCTTTGTATGTTTCCTCGTACCAGCAAGCAAAAGGGTAAAAACAAAATGAAGATATACGGTTTTTAACGATCCCTTTTAAGTTATTAATTTTTTAACTTGTAAATATGCATATGTTGTGTAAATTGCATAGATTTTAGACGTGTATATTACCATAAGAATAATTACGTATTATTATCAAGTACATATATTTACCAGATGATTCTATACAAAATATCATGACGTATTCTCATGGTTTTATATAGCTCTAAATACATGTAGGTAGATACATGTAGTCTTAATGGTATTGTACATGTCGTCGAAAACGTTTCATATCACAGTCTATTTATACAATGGCTCTAGCAACAGACACCCACAACTGTACCGCTAACAAAACTGGAAGTGACTAGACTTGCAAGTTATTACAATCGCCCCGAATAAAAAATTGCTAAATTTACGCCGGAGACGGCAAATAACGAAATTAATGTCCGTGAATGTAACGTGATTATGAATGAATAAATCTCATGATATTCAATCAGAATTGTCGCCCGTTCATCACTTTTCCGTCGCGTCCGACGGTCCGCGGTTAATAACCGATCAACTCTTCCGCTCCCTTTCTGCCGCCGTCTTTCCGCTTGCCTCTCTCTCTCTCGCGCGCACGGCTGCGGCGGTTCCCTCCCCACGCTGTGCAATCCTACGCTCATTCACCCGTGACGCACCTACTGCTGCTGTCCACTGCAGAATAGCGTCTCGATGACAGTCCCAGTGAGCGCGGCATTGTTGCTGAAATGGAGAAGTCGAACACTTAGGGCGGGCCGGTGCGAGAGATGGCTCGCGCGACTGTCAACAGTCGGGTTTAAGATGAAATGATGAGACATAGCAGGGTTCATAGTAGTAAGACACATGTTGAAATAAGGACTTATAAGACTCTTTCTGGAGGCCAAAATAAAACTTTTTTACGCGATTTCTGATAGATCACCGACTATTAAAGTACACTAATAATATTTATATACACAATTGCACAGCAGATTTAATTATTCCGTATTATATATAAAACAATACTGCAAGAAATAAGGACTATTAAGTACTTTTCTAAGATTTCACCAAAAATAAGTACTAATAAGGGCCCTTATTTTATTTTTGACAAAATAAGTACTTATAAGACTTTGGAAGACCTGCTACGAACCCTGCATAGGAGCACTGGCGTGTGAAGAGAGAGGGGGGAGGGGAAGAAAAGTGGGGGAGACTAGGGGGAGAGGGAGATAATGTAGAGAGAAGGGGAAAAGAGATATCAGAATGAAATTCCGTACCCATGCACGTCGTGGCACCAACTCTCGCGTTCGTGCAGCAACCTCCATCGTCCGGCTCGACTTGTAATTAGGCGACACCTGTAAAACAACCCAAGCTGTAACATCGTTTCACACTAATCAGCGTGACTCGCGTGGCACACACTAGAAGCATCAGGAATAGCGTTCACCCTGTCTGCTAGCTTGGCATGCGTGTCGGGTGCTCTGTCGATTAGACGCATGCAAGATGCTCGAAGTAAAAAAAAACACTACTACCATGCAATGTGTGCAATCGCGTTTCCAACTTGAGGAGCTAGCCTTTCGACGGAAATACACGTCGTGCCGGACATAGCAAGCAGCGGACCTCATTGTTGTCACACGCTAATCAGTGCTGCGCTTGGACTCGGAACAGATCGCTACGGACAATCAATCAGCCTTCCCCGACTCGAACCATGAACGCTACCGTCAAGTTTCACGTGTGTTCGGGCAAAAATCGAATCGCATTTACGAACGCTAGCTGACGACTACCCCGCACCCTGCTACACGATAAAGCACGACACAACAGCAATAACGCAATACTTTACGTACTCTTCATACGTTACCTGGCGTCGACTACCTACACACACTGCGGATACCTAACTTTCTCGCCTTGCCTAGTGCCTCACTGCCTGCAGTAGCTGGGCTCTCTCTCTCTTTCTCTCTGAACGATCGTCTGCACTCGCTAGCTTAGGACCGATGCCCGGCTCGTCTGTCTGTCTGTTGCCCGATTGCCATAGTAACGACTCCTGCCTTTCTCTCACACTTACAGCACTTCCTCTCGCTGAGCCCTCTTTTACATTCACCAGTTCAACGCGTGCGCGTACCGCATACACCGCCCTCCTCATATATCGCGGTCACCGATCACTGGCATCCACGACTTGCCAGTTGCACAGAACAGTTGCATGTTTGCGACGTCGTGTCTGAATGCACGTTGACGCGCCGCCTCGGAAGGCAGTCCTGTTACGACCAAGTCGAGACCTCTCCCACCCCCAGTGGAAATTTTTCTGAGTCGACCGCATTAAGAAAAAGATTGAAGAGTCGTGGCCTACCGCACGCATCAGGTCATGCCTAGTCATGACTGTCTAATATTACGAATAGCTTTCTGTTAAACAAACACTCATCGTTAGATAAATCTTCCGTAATTTATTAGAAGGTATTGCCCGTAAAGAACCTTGTCAATTCCCTTGATGATCAATTCAATTCTTCCCTCCTTGACGGAGTTACAGAATCTTCTAAGGCTACTTTTATTCTCAACTACGAGTAACCAGACACTATTTAACACTGAAAGATAGTGGAATGTGTACACCCTCATCTTTATTTCACACAGACTAAACACACATCTAAAAAATATACACTGTTTGCAGTTTTGCCACCTTGATATATCTGATCATTAAACAAACTTCGTCGGGATTTACGCACGAAGATTAGCATCGTATGCACTTTACACGAGACCAAGAGACTTCTCTGGATAAACTTCAAATTTCCAATGTTAACATGATACGCAACCTAACATTACATATTAAGCTAGCATATTATAGGCACCTATCCCCTCTAAGGGCTTTCCTTCAAGCAAAACGAATAACATACACCATATTACGAGTATGTCGTTTATAAAATAGCAGCAACTCTTTGTCTAAAGTCGACAGCATACGACGTAATGTATGTAAAGTGTAACGCAACGGTAGTACAGCGAGGAAGTGTAGCATGTACAGAGAGGAGCTGGAAAACAAATCATAGGGTGAGGTGCAAGTTGTCAGCGCTCTGGTCACTTCACTGTTCGTGTTTAACTGAAGACTGGCTAGTCGGCCGTGCTGGTGCTCTCACTAGTCTTCCTTCAACCCTGCGACTCTATGTTGCTCAACTGTTCGTGTTTAACTGAAGACTGGCTAGTCGGCCGTGCTGGTGCTCTCACTAGTCTTCCTTCAACCCTGCGACTCTATGTTGCTCAACTGTTCGTGTTTAACTGAAGACTGGCTAGTCGGCTGTGCTCTATGATTACATACGCTGTTTATGATACCTCCTCATTGCTGACGTTATAAAAATGCTCCCTGAAAGCCTAAACAACAAACAAATCCTATTACGAACTGCATACAAAACTTGATGGGCATTCAGAATGCCTATTTGGAATCTTTTATGATTCCCACACCAATGTTAAATAACCTCATTAACCTTATTGACCAGGTAACGTTACGCGTTTTAATTGCTTCTGACACACAGATTCCTTTGCGGCTGAAAAACTCACTGAAGTAGCTTATGCGTCTAGTCTAACACATTCTCGAGATATTTCCATAACCCTGTTGCTTTTTGCACGACATGGGGAATACTGCATACGTAAAAGGTGTGATCAAATTTATCGCCATTGGTACATACCCTTAGAAGCTGGTGCGAAATAAGAGAATCGCTTCCTAACGCCGGCTGTAGCTTCCACCGCTGTAATTTCCTCCGCCGCCGCCTCCCCCGCCACTGCCATCTGTTATTGGAACGAGTGCAGAAATCACCAATAGGCTATCACATCGAAAAAACAACAGATCGACACTAGAGATTTTATGGATCGTAAATCCGTCAATGTTTCGCTGACGGATTTCACGGTGGTGAATCACTCGCACCAGTGGCGCCCGCAGATAGAAGCACTGGAAGCACAGTGCTTCCAGTAAATTTTGGGTTAAAAATTTTTGTTCCTAAATCTCTCTCGCAAGACTCACCAGATTGCATCTCCAGACGTCTACCATTCAAAAATTTTAAGGGTGGGCATGCCCCCAGACCCCCTAGCATGCAGCGCGCCTACGGCGCTTGCTTTTTATTATCACTGAGGATTTTATCTACTTTCTTAAGACCTGTGGGCGCCAGTGACTCGCACAATACTCCTGTACTTACATCCCGAATTGTACGGGCCAGATCCACGCTGGGAGTAACTCCCGCCTTTCATCGATCCACCGCCGTATCCCCCGGATCCATAGTCATTGCCAAATCCTCCGCCCGAGTTGTTGCCCCAGTTACCACCGCCTCCTAAAACAATGAAGCATTATTGAGTTAGGAATGTTTTTTTATTTTATAAAAATTTGTAAATCTGCGCGGCAAAGCAGTCAAGTTCGCGTCAGACATGCGTTGCATAGCAACGGCAATCTCAACGCACGCGCACGTGCATAACGACTCTCCAAACATACCTTGATTTTGGTTCCAGCCACTGCTGTTGCCACCAAAGTTTGCTCCGCCGCCACCGCCAAAGTTTCCGCCTCCCATGTTTCCGCCCATGCCGCCACTATATCCTCCCTGGTTGCCATATCCACCGCCAAAGTTACCTGAGGAAGACAGCGCATGGCTCCGATTCATACGATTTCAAAGGCCATTAATATAGCGCAAGGGTAGACTCGTGCGCCGGATCAATAGCCACTGCACACTGCTGCAGCACCAACGTACACAAGTGGAAATCAATACTGCCTCTAGCAACACTGCAGAGTACTGCCACTGGGCAATAAGCAGCGTAACTATGCGCAGTGCCCGGCAGCTATAAGCGATCGCCGATGCACCTGCCCCTTTCTCTGCGCGCAAGACCCGTCTCGCCGTCTTATCTCACCGCTCGCTTTCTTCCTCGTGAAACGAGTTCAAACCAGTGGCTCACCTCCTTGGTTTCCATAGCCACCTCCCCCAAAGTTTCCGCCTCCCTGGTTGCCGTATCCACCACCTGAAATACAACGAACATGCATCTTATGCGACGTGACGACGGTCACACTTTGCTGCCGCTTGGCTGTGAGATGACATGAGTAAGCAATTGCTATAGGTTATTCACACTTGCATCACCGAGAACTCAATATATTCAACATCAATATGTTCAACATCAAGTTCAATAATCTCCTGACAGAATGGTTGAATAAATGACAGAAACTCGAAGTAATTCAAGTAGTTTAACAACAGCAACACAGCACTGTACCTTGATTGCTATAGCCGCCGCCGCCGCCGCCGCCGCCTCCTCCACCCCAGTTGTCTCCATCTCCACGGTTACCTGTGCGACAAGAGTCATTAAAAGATCTGCAAGGGCAACATTAGAACCTGCCACACTCAAATTCACCCACACACTTTCGTGCGTTTACCTTATAGCTTAACTAGGCTGCAAGACTAACGTCAATACACAGCCTTACACCCATGCATCTCATCTCTCCTAATGCGCTTACCCCTAGGCCTAGTACTTCCAAAACAATACTTTTGTCCCATTATTATCCAATTAAATCCCACGGACACGAGTGGTCACTACTGCTTAGAGTCTAAGCCTTAGACACTAACCCGCTCCCAATTAACATGCATTCGAGGTTACGATAAAAGAGTGATGACCGAAGTTTGGGGGCATCCTGCCCTTCCCCGGTGACTCACTAAATCTCCCTCCTCGTCCCTGTCCGCGGCTTCCCCCTCCTCTCTCCATTGCCGAAGCCATCTCCTGCTTCGACACGGCTTTCTTCACCTCAGAGTGATGTCCGTTGATTGTGTGATGTCGCAGAACTGGAAGCGCGCAAGAGCGAATAGAATCGAAATTCATTAGTGTCCGCTAGGTGGCTCTGGTGTCGGTCGCGCGCCCATCTATTGATCGTATGATATCAAACAACTGGCGTGAGAGTGAATAGAATCGGAATTTAGTTTTCCGCTAGGTGGCTCTGGCGTCGGTCGCACACCCGTCGCCGACGCGGAATCAAGGCGTATGGCGAAATCACGCGCATTCGGAGAATACTCACGGACGATTTTGTCGACGGGGTCATAATCGTCGAAGGAGATGAAGGCAAATCCTCGCTTGCGATCCGTTCCCTTCTCCGTGATGATGTCGACGGAGGTGACGTTGCCGTACTGCATGAAGTATTCCTTCAGGTGGGACTCTTCCGTGTCGTCCTTTATGCCGCCGACAAAGATCTTCTTCACGGTCATCTGCGACTCTGGCTTGCTCGACTCCTAAAATATTTACAAAAAAATAAAAAAAATGTGCTAAAATGTTAGCACACCATAAACGCAACAGCCGTTGGTGTTTAGACTGAGAGACGAAGGCCCATTAGCTAATTATTTAACACCTTGATAGCACTGCACCATGAGAAAAAATGGGAAATAAATTCGGCAGAATGGCGGTCCAGTCGAAATTACCAGGGTATGTGTCGGTAACTTACGCTCATAGGATCTATGTCACCCATGGTACTGCCGGAACGTACCCTGGGTACGGTCCGGTATGTACCCTGGTAACTATCTGATATGGTTAGGGTTAGGGAGTAGGCGTAGGCGACTCCCTAGACTCGTTAGTGGAGTAGGTGAGGTACGGTCTGGCATATTAGATAGTACCAGAGTACGTTCCGGCAGTACTGTACCCTGGGGGACATAGACCCTCTCAGCGTAACTTATGAATCATCGCTCTCTCATCTGCGTACAACAGAGATCGCCACAGTTTGCTCCTGACTGAAGACGCGTACACCCTGCTAAACTTGTGTTCGGCCAAACTGTCCCAAGCTAACCAACGCGAGTGCTGCGCGAATTTTACGTAGCTTCCTGTGGCTCTACAATGTAGGCAGAGAAATGCTAGATCGAGGAGAAAGAGAGGTTGTAGTGAAAGGTGAGAAGGCATCGTCTGGCAATTGCAATTGAGCTTTTAAAATATAGCTCTAGTACTATAGCCCTTGTTCGCCACAGGCCTGTGGCAAACAAGGGCTATATAGTACAGAGAGCTAGCTTAAACAGTGGCGACCCTTTGACCTTAGACGTCGCGTTCTCGTACTAATTTCACGTACCTAATATAAATAATTTCACTTAAACAGTGACGGCCCTTTGGCCTTAGACGTCACCTTCTCGCTCTGATTTCACGTACCTCGCGCGGCACGGCGCGCTTGGGTTCCACCTCCTTCCCGTCAATGATGTGCGGCCGATTTTGCTGCGCCTCGTCCAGCTGCGACGCCTGCTTGTAGGTTATGAAGCCGAAGCCGCGCGACCGCTTGGTCGCCGCGTCGCGCATGACGACGCAGTCGACGATCTCGCCCCACTGTTCAAAGTGCGCTTTCATGCTCTCCTCGGTCGTTTCGTAGCTGATTCCGCCGATGAACAGCTTCCGGAACTGTTCCTTCTCCCGGTCGCGCTCGTGCTCGTAATCCTACGACGTGGAAAATGTTTGCGTCACAAGGTTTTTTTGCGTGAGACGTTGACCGCCGTTCATTCGGTAGGGCTGACGTTGGCCCGTCTTGGCAATTTTTGGCTATGAACTATTTGAGCCATGAGTCGGTTGTATTTGTACCGGTGAATGTTCCGACGCGAAATCGTACACATAGTTCTTCTAAGTATCACAGTAATCAGTATCACTATCAACTAGCATGATAATTGTGATTGTGACAGTGTCAAGTGATTGCATTATTCTGTTAATTTGTAGAATCGGTCAAAAACTGAATAAAACTACGTGAAACCCCCCAAGTTCGACACACCAGCCTTAATTACAATTAAATGTATTACTCACTACATACAACAAAGGGTCTAACACTATCATGCAAACCTTAATGATTAATCTATATGCTAAATAGTGTAATAATTTGTGTTGATATACGTACTCTTTCAGCAGGCATTTTCCTTGTTCAAGTTGTTGTTGCTGAGCTTCAAGTCACGTGTCCTATTTTCGTTTCTTCTCAGCTTTTGGCGAAATAAATTATAAAATTTACATAAATATAAACAAGTTCAAGAAATCTACCATGAAATCAATAATTCTCACATATCATGTACACTTGGATGAAACAAATTGTGTCTAAAATCATTTTATCACGACCGTAACATGCCGAGTACCTGGTGGAAACTATTCGGGTGTTTCCGTGCGTTGTGCGTTGTGCGTTGTGCGGGTGTTTCCGCGGGTCCGTTCGGGTGTTGCGGCCGTCTTTCGATCGTTCCTTCTAGTTCCTCCCTACGTACGTGATGTACACGTCGTTCGTTCTTTGAAACTGGTTTGGTTCATACACTAGTTTGTTTATACACAGGAGTGTCGGAACCTGGAAATAGATAACGGGTTTGGTCGTATCGAGGTCAGGCAGTCGATTGACTGTGTTGTTGATAATAGCTACGTACGTGCGTGGTATAAATTGACAATGAAACAACCAGAAAACGAATAAAAGGCTTTAGACACTGATATCTACCGGAGTCTCTTCTACAACTACTTCTACTTTTATACAGTCCATGCACGCAGAATTACAGTGCCCGTGAAATTCTCTAACTCTAGGTGCACATAAAACATGTGTTCGTAGTAATACTTTTGCTAGAATTGCGTGACCAGGGTAATAGGTATTGGACATGCACACATTGGGCATGCAAAGCGAGAACGGTTATTTTCGGGACGCAGGATTGGACTGTTTTAATTATCTAAATAAATCGGGATATACCAGATAAATTTTCCGTAATTTAAGAATCGGATTCAACAGGGCGGGTTTATTTAACTGGAATATTGTATGTGTTTTTTATTTGTTTTTATGGGATTTGTTTCAATTCACCCCTGATATGATGTATATATATATATATATATATATATACATACAATATATGTACTCTTGATATATATATATATATAATACACACGCACGTCTTATATATAAGGCGTGTGCATGTGCAACGTGTTCTATGTTCGCGTGGAGTTGAAACAACAAAATTACACCAATTTAACATTAATTGGGATTATAGCATCAATGAATTCATGTTTGGACACAAGTTTCTTCTGTAAATCATTCTCATGCATATTTACAAGTCAGTCAAAAAACAATTACAAAAAAAACGAAGTTACCTCCGCAGGGCGTGAGTGGGTAAATATAATAGAATATATTTAATAAAAGGAATCACATATCTTGGTTATGGGGCATTAACTATATTCAATCGACATTTATAGTATAACTAAGTAATATATTTGCAATGTTGGCATGCACCCATAAAAAGCTATCCGTAAATATCACTGAGATATATAATCGAATTTATATCTCTTTATATCTCTTTATATCTCTATATATCTCTTTAAAGAGGGTATATAAATAATAAAATACGTAAATCAAAAATGGTTACACGCTGTGCAAGTAACGCGCTGTTTTATTGTGAACTTTATTAGTACTTGTTTTTAATTAGATGTGACACAGAGTAATTTACAATTCTCTTATTTGTCCACAAAAAGAACCGCTGGCCGCTTTCACGACATCGATCGTTCCCTTACTCGCTCTCCCAGTATTCACAACCATCGCTATCTCTCCGTGCGCATATTGCGAGCAAGGTTACTGGGGAGTTATGTGGGATTACTGTGGTCGCAAGCGCTCTGTAGGCACCTCGGCGCCCAGTGTGCGTACTGGACAGTGCTGCACCCTCGTGAGTAAAAAAGTAAAATTCGCCGCTGAATCGCATATGGTTGTGTGTGCCCTATATTTCGCCGAGATGTTTTTCCGTATACATTACATAAAAAAATTAATAACAGTTTTTTGGTTATTTGCATGGTTATATAATATATAGATGATTGCACTGCACGTATTTACGCGCGACCGTAGGCTACAAGTTGTGATTATATGTTCTGTATGTACACTTACATTGTAGTTACATTACCAAAGATTATACCGATTATATACAATCACTATATTATTATTATTATTATTGTTGTAATTTTCTATTGTATGCACCACACTTAACATTCGTGGGTCTTGTGGTCGTTACAGATCAATCTTTAAGCCTGCTCATAAAAATAACGAATTATCCAATGCAGACATGATGATCAAACTATATATATATATATATATATAGTTTGATACAATATACATACATATACATATACATATCTAACTATTTTGTGACGGCGAGGAGCTTGAAGCTCATGTGACAATTAATGTACGTCTTTAAATTAATAAATAAATAAAAATAAATAAATATAGTCACTGAATTATGGCGGCCCTCCTGTGCAGATGCGCAAGAAAGCTCCTGCTAGCCTATAATTATCACACGACGAGAGCCGCGAAATGTTCAAGTGAAATATCGACCATATACATACACGTATGTGTTGTTTACGTTCCCACAGAGTTTATGCTGAAAGGTCCCTCATATGCGGCGAGAAATGTGTTCGTTAGCGAGCATTAGAGCGCGTTGTGTTGACGATCACGGAATCTTATTTTTTCGTAAATATACGCCGAGAGAAAAATCTCACGGATGCACTAACGAGCAATATTTTCACTAGAGTAAGCGACGATTCAGATGTTTTTTTTCTGCATCTAATAGAGCAAAAAAAAATAACCGAGCGAGTGAAGGCGGCTGCATGATTCCAGCTGACTGTAGCCGCGTGACGTCATCAAACCGAACCGCTGACGTGACGTCGGCGACACGCATCAAATCAGCGAGCACTCGGCGTTAGGCCACGCCCACCGAGCTGCGGACGTGTGCATTCAGTGGACATCTATTTGCGTTCGCTCATTTCAGCGACTATGATTACGGCCAGGCCGCTACTACGTACGGCTGTGGCGAAAAGCTCGCGTTTTAATCACGGGGGTGGATTATGGTTGGTGGCGGCGGGAGCTGGGCGACCGGGAGGACTCGACGCGGTGATAAATTTCACTGGACTGTCTCATTATATTGACGAGAGGGATGTGGGTGGGGCTGCGTGGTGGGGGTGGGGGGTGGCTGCGCGCGTACAGTTCATAGAAATAATACAGGTAGACTAGAACGCCGGATTCTAATCTATATATATATTTGCCTCCTAATATATATTTATCCTCTGTATATTTCTATAGTGCAGTCCACACGATATTTGAAATGGGGAGTGGGAGGGAGAGGAGAAGTGAGAAGCAGGCGGGGAGCAGTGCAAGGGGGGGGGGTAACTGGAGACGTCTATGCAAATATATTTCAAATTATTCTCAATATGCGACGAATCAGAATGCACACGACAAGCAATGCCTCAACGGCACGGACACACGCACGGACACACGCGAACGCGTACGCGCACGCGCGCGCACACACACACTAACGCAGGCGCACGCACACGACCACACACAACACGCGCGCGCGCACGCATTGCACGCACAGCACGACGCACGCACGACACGCACACACACACACACGCACACAGGGCGCCACGCAGCACGCACACACACTCACACACACACACACGCACGCCACGCACCACGCACGCACCACGTATTAGTACACACAACACCAACACACACACACAAAACACAACCACACACACACACACCACACACACACACCCACACCACACAATCACCTACACACACCACCTACCACACACACACACACACACGACACCACACACAACACACACACACACACACAGCACACCACACACACCATGCACACACACACACACACACACACACAGACACAGCACACACACACACACACACACACACACACACTACACACCACACACCACCCACACACACAACACCACAACACACACACACAGCACCATGCACACACAGCACACACACACACAACATCACACACACACCACACCATCACACCACACACTAGCACACACACACACACAACACACTACCACACACCGGCGCGCGCATATATATATCACCAAACAATGTGGATTGCCTTTAGGTGATAGTTGAGTTAGATGTGTTCTAAGTTGGGCGGCCATGGTGTATACTGGATGATGGTTCAGCCAATATCCGGATATCACACAGGGTTTCGTAACAGGTTTGTTGCACGAACGCGTATAGCTGCTAGAACAACAACAACAGCAGCCGCACGTATACCAACAAATGGAATTCGTCAAAACAGGCGCAGGCAACGTATGTTCCTTCCTGAGGTGCGTAAAATGTCACGTGCGTTACGATATCTGTTCCAGCGCAAAGGCAGATCTGCCTCTCGAAGCAAATCGAAGTTGACGGAGCGTACGTGGTGCGTCGAAGCAGCGTGAACGTAATTATTCGTCCATGCTATATAAGTGCCTGCTCTCTCTCTCTCTCTCGTCCACTCGGTCTCTCTCTTCTTCTCTCTCTCTCTCCTTCTCTCTCATCTCATCTCATCTCTCTCTCCTACTCTCTGCTCTCTCTCTCTCTCTCTTCTCCTCTCTCTCTCTCCTCTCTCGATCTCTCTCTCTCTCTCTCTCACACACACACCACACACAATCTTTCTCGTATTCTTCTCTGTCTTTCTCTCGCTCCTCTCGTCTCCTCGTGCTCCCTCTCTCTCCTCTCTCCTCACTCATCTCTCTCTCTTCATCTCTCTCTTCTCTCTCTCTCTCTCTCCTCTCTCTCTCTCTCTCTTCTCTCCTCTCTCTTCTCTCTCTCTGTTCTTATCGTCTCATCCCTCCTCCAACTCCTCGATCCGCTCTGCTTTCTGCTCTCTCTCTTTCTCTCTCTCTCTCACACACACACACACACAAATCTCTCTCTATCTCGTCTCACACACATCTCTCTCTACTCATCTGTATCTCTCTTCTCCTTCTCTCTCCCCTCTCTCTCTTCTCTCTCGTCTCTCTCTCTCTCTCTCTCTCTCTCTCCTCTCTGTCTCTCTCTTTTCTCTCTCTCTCTCTCTCTCATCTCTCACACAATCTCTCTCTCTCTATCTCTTCTTCTCTCTCCTCGCTCTCCTCTCCTCTCTCTCTCTCCTCTCCTCTCTCTCTCTCTCTCTCCCTTCTCTCTCTCTCACACACACATCTCTCTCTATCTCTGTCTCTCTGTCTCTCTCTCTCTGACTCTTCTCTTTCTCTCTCTCCTCTCTCTTGCTCGGTGATCGTTCTCTTTCTCTCTGCTCTTTCTGTCTCTCTTCTCATCTCTCTCTTCTCATCTCTCTCTCTCTCTCTCTCTCTCTCTCCGTCACACACACAATTCTCTCTCTATCTCTGTCATCTTCTCTCTCTCTCTTTCTCTCTCTCTCTCTCTCTCTCCTCTTCTCTCTCTCTCTCTCTCTCTCTCTCTCTCTCTCCTTTCTCTTCTATCTCTCTCTCTTCTCT